GGCGGGGGGGCATTATAGAGCAAACCTTATACTCCTTTACTTGACCGCCGCCGAGAGGGGGGGTCGAACGGTGTGGGCCAAACGTTAACCGATGCGCGGAATGTTTGACCCCCGCCCCTAAACCGTATTTGCCCTAAATTAACCGGACTTGTAGAAAGTTGAAAACTACGGCTATCTTTACCGAGCACTACGGAACGTTTCGGTACGGTACCCGAGGGCGTTGTTTACTTCAAGCCGCTTCTAATTTTTTAGAAGATGCAGTGGCGGTAAGTTCACTTACCCGGGGGCTTCCGCAACTTTCGGGGTAAAACGCTATGGGACATCACACTCGCCCGGGCAATCTATGGTGTAACGTTTACTAGTAGACTGTAAGAGAAGTCTCAGTGTCTGTCAAGCCGACGAAAGGTAGGGGTCCTTTCGTACGGTTACACACAAAACGTACAAGAAAACACCAAAAATTACTTTGTGTGACTTCCGTTTTAGTTGTACGGAGTACTATGTAAAGTGTTCCTATAACAGACTTGGAACGCTATCGGGGGTGGTAAACAACGGATAACACCGGCGGAATTATTTATAAAGTTGTAACAGTACAGGGGGTTTAGATCTACATCAATACAATTTTTTTTCTAGTTTATACTAATAAGAAAATGGGTGACTCTTAGTAAAAACCGTGACTTTACCTGATGTTGACTGTTTACGGATAATTAAAATTGTCAGGATTCATTCGTACTGTGCTTCATTTATTTTGTTTCGAAAACTTCCGGGTCCGTGCGGGGTACAAAGAATTAATGTTTCTAACTACGTTTGAACACTGACGTCCAGGTACACAAAGTCGCACCTTTAATGTCCCCGTACATTTTTTTTCGTGTAAAGAACACTGCCGTTGTTGCACATTTCGTTACTTTTTGTGAGAGGAACCTGGAACTCTAATTAAAGTCGACTCCGTGTGCAAGCTGGGAGAGCCAGACCGCAGTTCATTTCCTCATATTCCAAACGAGATATTACGGTAGCAAATCACCCGGTTCTTTATGACCAGAACTATTTACCGGGATACAAACCGGAGGAACCAGGCATGGAGGGAGGTGGCAGAGACAGTGGGTGAAACTGGTAGGTTTTCGCCTGTTTGGAGAGTTTATATCCAGTTTACTTCGTTTTAACATTGCTATTGCTTTGTATGTCGGGGGCGGGAGATTCATGTGATTGGTTGTTGGTCGCGGCTCGCAAAAAATCGCCAAGCTTCAGACACGCCCAGCTTCAAGATCTTTTGATGCCTGTAGTGTAGACGGGCCGTAATGGTAAACAACTCTTTGGCTAGATCTCTGCTGGGAAAAAAAACTTGATTATGTGACCATTAAAGTTCGTAAATAGATTCCCAGAGTTCACATTTGCATCACAAAGGCCGAGCAGGGAGGAGCAGCTTTGTGGCAACAGTACACTATGTTGGCAGAGAAACCTGATTACTGACCAAACATATTTAAAACAAGGCATTAACATTTCTCACAACAATCCGATTCCTAAGTCTGCTGGCTCACTATTATAATTATCCTTAGATCAACTGTCATTCAAGGGATTTACTTATACATTGATAAAGTGCCATCTTCACTAGCTCAAGCTAAAACTCCCCAGATATAAAAGGGCAAAACTGAAACTTTAATACAATGGGGACACTTTAGGTTACTTCACAGCTCTAAGACTTAACAATACTGTACATCATGGCTTGAATAGAGTTGATTAAGCATCTGCACACCTACGAATGTGTTGTCAATGTGGACGTGTGGCTTTAAAGTCCTCTACACATGGATCAATTCCTATTGTGTGTGTAAGACAGAAAGGGATAGTTGCTATAAAAGGATGAATTCCAATGAGCTTAGTATCGGGGCAGACAGTGTGTGGTTTTGTAAAGAAAAACGCTGACTGCTAGTGTGATAAGTTTCAACTACCTCATGCAAAAGTCTGGTGCTGAAGAGGTAAACTGGCAACAATGCTTTGAGGCTAATCGTGGTGGGGAAAAAGTGAATAGGCCAGCTAGACACAGTCCAAACAAATCCTCTAGAGAAGCTAATCCTGTGAGTGGATGAGCCTTTACAGGTGACGTGACTAAAACTGAGATAAATAGCTTCACCAGTGTCATTAAACCAAAAAGAGAGTACGTTTAAAATGTTGATATGAACTGAAGGCCATTGCATGAGCTAACATAGCTGTACATGTGTTGGCTCCCTCCCTCCCACTGCTTGTTATGTTGCTAATCAGTACACTTAACTTATTACATGACATTCACGTTATCTTTTACTTCCTACAGTCCTTTCTTTAATTATTTAATCACTGTTCAACGATAGTTTGCTAGCTAATATAACCAAGGATGTATGAAGAAATATAGCGTTGAAGGAGGGACCCCGTTCATTTCTATGAGTTGTTCAGTGGCGCATGAAGCCATATTGCCCTGAGCAAAAGTACCCGGATTTGGGCCGATAGAGCATGCGCAGTAGAGTTTTCCCTTAAGCTTACATTTTGTATATTGTTCTGTGGTCTGTTTTTCACATACTTGTTTATTTTTGTACATGTTAACGTACTTGGCAATAATAAAACCGACCCTATTGCAAGTCAATGGGGAAAAAGTACTTTGGGCCTGTGACGTAAATTGTAGTACCACGTTTTGGCCCCTGTACAAAAATATGCTTCAATGTCCGGCACTTCAGTGAGTTAGCCATTTAGCTTCTCATGCTACTTCCTGTTCCTCCACTTGCTAAAATGACTAGCTTCACATGTCAGCTGGAGAATGTGGGGATTTTGAGGCAATTTAGCTTTGAATCAAAACGACAGTGTGACACAAACACTGACAACTTACACAGTATCTATATCAGTATAACGCAACATGGTGGAAGTAGTTAGATTTAAACCGAGCAGTAAACTCACTTTCAGCTTCACATTGCACGTGGGCTATAGAACCTGTGACGTGAAAGCTGCCTTGCGCGCGCGGCCAGGCTCGGTAGCTTAGCTGCTGCTAACACGATTTCACCAACTGACCGAACTTGTGAAATCCACCCCGTTTATTGTGGTTCTCTTACCTCTGATTGCTTCCTGACGTCGTTGTCAGGGCTCATCAGGTTGCCCAGCAAGAGGTAGAACTGCTGCTGCTGCTGTTCCGCCATTGCAGTATAGATCCCAAAAAAAGACAAGCCGGGTGGAGAAGCGGCGAATTGAGCCCCGGCAGAGCCTTGCTTTCTGCTTCGGTCACACAATGCTCCTAACGTCCCATTGGCTGTCTTTACTAAGTCCACTCGTCACTGATTGGACCAGACGCCTGGGTCGAACGCAGCCTGTTGGCTCTCGATGGTTCTGAGTTCCTATTGGCTGGAATCCACACAGAAAAAGGGAATGCGTCGTTCCTGCTGAGTTCATAATGAATTACTAAAGCGCGGGAAATGACCACATCAGGACTTGCAAAATAATAGTAGTGCTGTGCTGTTGTGAATGTCTATTTGCAGTGATAGAAAGTAACTAAGTAAATGTACTCAAGTACTGGACTTTAGTTCAATGATGCTGTACTTGAGTATTTCCATAAATGCAACTTTAGAAGTATCCTTCACTACATTTCAAAGGGAAGTGTTGTACTTTTTGCTCCAACACCTTTATTATATTTGACAGTTAGCTTAATTACTCAGTGGTTGATAACACAACCAGCAATTTCACTTAAATGCTATAGGTGTGTTTTGCCACTGGACTTCTTTTTAATTAAGTATAGTTTGAATGAAGACCTTCAACCTGCAATGGAGTATTTTCATATAGTACAATTAATACATTAAAAGGTGGCCTATCTCATTACTTAATCCACCTCATATTGTTTATGACTTGTTTATGAAATAGAATACCTAGACAAAACAGAAGAGTATAAATGGAGTAATAAAAATAATTATGTATTATTTCTGCTCGTATTTGAATCTATATCATGCTCATTACATATGTGATGGTCCTCATATATAAACATATTTCCCACATCATTTACATAACTAAATAAAGGTGTGTTAACAGCATATGGAGTGGAGTGTGCACAGCATGTCCCAGTAGGTGGCAGCCAAGCTTTTCTTTACAATGATTTTTGCAATGCATATCCAAGAACCCTTTTAACCTGTGCTCATGAAATCACCTGTAGCTGTATGTGCAGGTCATATAGGCGGCAACATATCCAGAAGACATTTGGTGAACCCCGCCCAAGATGTTTAGTAGATGTTTGTCTTTTTGTTGTCTTAAATTATATATGTCAATATCATTGCCCACTTTCTTTCTAATGCAATGCATGAAATGATCAACTGTAGGCTATTATTGTAACGTTAGTGTCAAGGCTATGCTGTATATTTGTATCATCTTTCTGCAAACTGGTTAAGGATAAACTTCCTCTATTGTTATTAAAACAATCGCTGCTTATTTACATGCAAAAGGTACTCCCAGTTGCTCTAACATACATCTTATCTTAGGCTGCTGCAGAGTTTATTACACATTGCGTCCCCTCTCTGGCTCCTGACAGCACCCCTGCTGGTCTGAATGAAGCTTGTTATTTGCACTCAGATCCGCTGCAGCCAGACCTCTGGATACCGTGAACCTGCACCATCTCCGTCTGAAACTCGACAACTTAACCAGCTGCAGGACACAATGCACCAAAAGTGAAAGGTAAGCTCGAGATTTACTTAGTTATAATTCACTTTGTATCATTAGAAAGCTTGCAAAAGATAGAAGCCCACTTTCAATCTTTTTTGTTCCATTTTGCCTCGATGTTGATTGAATTTACACCGATCTCCGTTCAAAAATTAAGTTGTAATTGGTGCTCAGGTTGAAAACACTTTTGAGCTTATAACATTTAACAAATCTAAAATCAGGATGCACACTTTACTCCAATGCACATCCACCAAGCAGGACTTAAAGAAGTTTCGTTTATTTCTCAAAAAAACATCGTTACGAATGCAGAAATAAAAACTTGCAAAATGCTAATATCTTTAAGTGAACTTGCATTGCATCGCTAACGATCCGTAATCAACCAAACAGTGCTTTAAATATCAACTTCTTGACGCTGCATTACAGTGTAAGATGTGCAGAAAAGTAGTTTTGCATCATAATTAATGAACAAAACAACTTGCTGATTGACGATCAATTAACTGCCACGCCACATTTAAATAGAGATTGGTACACCTCTTTTAGTTTTGGTTTGCAAAAGTGCAATAACTATTATTAACAGTTTGTACTTTAATAATGACAACATCAAGATGTATCCTTTGCATGATAATATAAGTCGAGCTGTTCATGATAGAGCAAATTAATAGAGTTGTTTCAGTATTTTCTTTTAGATTTCAGATAGATTTGTGTGTCCATTCTCATTCCTTGTCAATCATGTGTGTATTGAGATCTGATTGAGACCCTTTTTTTATATGCCTGCTTATACAGGCACAATAATAACAGGCAGAGCAGTGGAGCAATAACACCTTTACTTTAATGTTTATTCAATTATTTAAAGCTTTTTTTGAAATTCTTACTGGTGTGTGTGCTACTTACTTTGTCAGGTTATATAATCTTTAGTCTTTCCTCCCCTACATTGTTTTTGAAAGTAGATAATGAAACACACAACACTCAACTTTAATCCGTTATGTTTCTCTTTGTTGTCAGTTTCTCATACTGCAGTAAAAGAGGAAACATATATTTAGAGATTTAAAACTGTTCAACAACGAGCATTCATGTAGAAAATATCAGATGTATTTACGAATAGTTTATAATTAAAGACATTACTTTACACTAGACTTATTTATTGTTTTATTTTCCGCCACTTTTTAAACTTCAGCTCACGACCTGACTGGAAACACAGCCCTCACTACATACAAGGTCTTACTGCTGCTAATAAATAACCCCCTTAATGGCAGTGGCATTAAATCATTAAACTGGACGCCTGAGAGTGTTACCCAGAGACCCCACTTACAGAAGAGGTCAGGCTGAAATGGAAAAGGAGAGGAAGATGGATGAGGAGAAAAATAGTTTATTGCTGAGGATCTGATGGACAGACTCTGAGACTGTGTGTGTGTGTGTGTGTGTGTGTGTGTGTGTGTGTGTGTGTGTGTGTGTGTGTGTGTGTGTGTGTGTGTGTGTTTGTTTGTGATTTACCTTAATTTATTCAGGGAAAGTTGTGTTTTTCCCGGAAGAAACGCCCCGCAGAAAACCACAGTCTTCCTGCAAAGGTGTATAGGTGTACAGTATGAGATTCCCCCATCTAGCACTATGGTTATAGTACCATGAAAGTAGACAGTTACTGGGAGAAGTAGAGCGCTAATTAATGTTTAATTTAAACTTACAACCTGTCAATCATCATGTGAGTGACATTTTTGTAACGCTAACCCTAACCTTGACAAGAAATACCTCAAACCAAGATCTCTAATTCCTACCTTTCTATTTCTATACAAGTAAATCAACATAATATGAAGTGTAAATAAGAGGTTTAGACACCTTTGGACAGCGGTGTTAAGTCAGGCTATTCATGTTCTGCCTCTACGCTAAGCTATAGGCTAATTCAAAATATAATATTTGGCATAGTTCTTCTCAGATTACCATTTTTCCCAGAGTGTCAAATAGTCCAGTTAACCAAGATAGATGCATGTTATTTCTTAAGTTTCCTCACTGGTGTGTGTGTGTGTGTGTGTGTGTGTGTGTGTGTGTGTGTGTGTGTGTGTGTGTGTGTGTGTGTGTGTGTGTGTGTGTGTGTGTGTGTGTGGCTCTAAGTAGGTCATGATTAGCTGTGAGATGTAATGCTGGTTATGCAGGCAAGTAGCTTTTATTGTTGCACCAACAGCAGGATGAGGATTTACAGGTTTTCTGTCATAAGTTACTGCTTTTCTGCGGTTAAACGGTAAATGAACTATTTCTCTTTTTAGTATTTGCATTTATAATGTGTCAGCAGCTCTATAAAAGTAATACTTAGGGCATATCTGGTGCAGTTCTGCCTCAAAAGGATCACCTGTAGCACCAGAAGTTTCCTGAAATAGCCCTCAGATCTCTGAGGACTGGAGCCATTATACATTTACTTCCAGAACCTTCCATCATTACTTCACAATAATAGACCTTAGTAATAATAGAGCACTATTACAATTGTATTGATCCTCCTTTTATATTTGGAGTTGAGTTAGCAGTAGAAGAACCCAGAAGAATCCCTGTGGATTTATTTTCGTGAGCTATGTTTGCTTTTACATTAAAATGTCACTGGGCTCACAAACATGTAGAATATATTTCCTCTCTCGTAAAACTTTTCCTTTAAATTACCCATTTTAAACATCCATGTTTACTTGCAAGTTGTCTTCTTCTTGCACTTTTTGGCACATTGCTGAATTGTTTTGACCCATTTGTTACTTGTCGATCAGTGGGGAAGTGAGAAACCGTTGTCAGGAATGTGTTCCACATTAATATATTTAAGGACGCACGCTTATAGCTATACTCAATGTGCAAAAATCCACCTTTATTCGAAACATAAGTACAATATATTGCATCTCTCATGTGCTATTTTTTGTCGCTTTTACATCTTAAATACATACACAAGATTTAGTTTCATTTTTGCCTTGAACACATGCTAATTCTAACTATGAATAAATACAGGAAACAGACTAATCTCTGATGTATTTATAATTACCACTTTTGGGTTTGCAACTAATAAACAATAATAAATTATTCATATATTCTGCACTCCAAACTGTCAGGGCTGCTTTCAATGGACATTTCAGTTTCAGGTCGATATTTGAAGGAAGTCAAAAGAACAGTAGTGATTTATTTACGTGTGCAATTTCAGTGTCAAACGTCTTGATAGCATACTTGCCAACCCTCCCGATGTCACTGCCCTCTCCCGGTTTCCTGACTTTAATACAGCTACACCATTGTTTGGTTCCCATGGTAGCGCGTCTCTTTAGCAGCAAAATGCTCCCGATTTCTGAGGTCTCAAGGTTGGCAAGTATGCTAGGTTTACAAATAATTTGCTCTGGTGGTTAATGGTGCATACATACACAGTCAAAGGAATTACGGATATATGAATTATATATAATTAACTATTTTAAAAAACAGTTTCAAAAACGATTTGAAATACAAATAAAAGTCAGTACCATAAGAATGCAATGATTCCCTCTGAAAAGTGATGTATGTTTAGTTTATCAGAATGGAAGTTGAACTGTTGATGTGGCTCAGTGGCTGCTGGAGGACAGGTGAATATCCAGTACAGTGTCCTACAGCCCCCCCGTGCCCTGTCTCGTCTCATCTCTGTGTTCTCTCTGCCCCCCCCAGGCGCCCTGATGCACGAGCTGTCTAACGACGGGGCCCGGCATCAGTTTGAGTGTTACCTGGAGGAGATGGTGCTGCCGCTGATGGTGGCCAGCGCTCAGAGCGGGGAGAGGGAGTGTCACGTGGTTGTGCTGACCGACGACGACGTGGTGGACTGGGACGAAGAGTACCCCCCCCAGATGGGAGAGGAGTACTCTCAGAGTAAGAGGCTGTCAATGATCCCAGACCTGTTTATACTCAAATGAACCCACAGGTGTTCTGTAGCAGCAGCTTCTTTTATGAAAGTCAGCTGTAGGCGTCAGCACTTTCTGCGCCTGCTGCACCTACTGCACACGCAGAGAGAACTACAGATCTCTCTACAGATCTCTCTACAGATCTCTCTACAGATGACAACAAGAACATGTCTACTAGAAAGAGGAGTAATGGGACTGTATCCACAGCAAATGTGGCAGAAGTTTTGAAATCTTAATTATTCCTTTTTGCAGATGACTTGTGCGTTGGTCAAAACAATCCAACAATAATTAAATCAGCCTTTTACAGTGAAATGTGTGAATAAAGCTTACCAGAATTCTAAATTGTACATAGTTAAATCATATTTTAAGTCCGATAATAAATACTAATAATTACAATTGATATAGTGGGCCCTGTACAAAAACGTTTTGGATGGTTTTGTTACTTTTGACAAGAATGATTACTAAGGCCCAGACCAAGATGATATACATGTAAGGGATTTAATCAGTCAGCTAAAAAGAATTCCATTCTGAAATATTTATTCTGAGGAAACTCAATGCCTTCTAAAGTATCCAGCTTCAGCGGCTATTTAACCATGCATCCTCTCAGAGGCTGTCCAAGGATTTCAGACTCAAGATGGTTCCCTTCCAACCACTAGGAGAAGGCTGCAACAACTTTCATTAAACTGCTTATTTCCACTGTCAGACATGTTACCAGAAAATAAAGATTCAGTTAAAACAGAACATATGTTGAAAGTCAAGAAAGATATTAAAGAACTGACATGTCACTGCAAGAGGCTGCAGAAAAGTTTAGCAGACTTCAAAGGACAAAAATACAACTTCCTTTAACAACATGAGGTCCTTCAACCTGAACACAACAGAAGAGGTCAGTAGAATAAAAAAGAAAACCTTAAAACAACTAAAGCCTTTGTGACTTGTGATGATGAAACAAACACCAACAAAGTCTAGGGGATTGTATTCAAAGGTCAGCCCAGACCTTAAAGTGAATTAGAGGGATGAGTAGTAACCAATGGGTCGAGAGCTACAGACAGGGTTGGGAAAGTGGACAATATTTAAAGACTATGAAAGTATTGACATTTATGTGCGGTTTGATAACAACAATACAAACCTTACGTGGAGCGT